GTCTGGAGGGCAGATTTTGGATTGCATTCGTCTTGGAGTGTGAGTGAGAGGAGTATTTATATTCCTTCGGTTCGGGGAGATAAACCTCTGATCTGTGCCGGAGTGGTCCATTTCTGCCGTTGTGAGGGGTGCAGTGTGTCTTAGTTTGGCGGAGGAGAGTTCCAGTCTATGACTAGCGTGTCTGGCAGATCCAAGGCTCTGAGGAAAGGTGGTACGTCTAGCATAGAAGAAATAGAGTGCACAGATCCTTTTGATGTCACTATTAGCGCAAATGGGAATCCCCATCTATATCTTATGTTGCGGTTTCTCAGAAGCTCCGTTATAGGTTTGAGAGCTCTCCTCGCCTGGAGGGTGTACCACGAGAGATCCGGAAACATTTGTATTGGGTTGCCGTGAAAGAGCAGTGGTTGTGAGATATCTCTTAAGGCTTTCACCACCTTTTCTTTTACAGTAAAGTAATGAAGCCTGCAGATGATATCTCTCGGCGCGTCTTGAGTCAGACCTCTGGGGCGAAGTGATCTGTGGGCTCTGTCCAATAGAATTAGATTATCAATAGGAGCTCCCATTAGCAGGTTGAATAGTTCTGTAAGTAATACTAAGACGTCCTCTCCCTGGGTCTCCGGTATCACCCTGACTCGCAGATTGTTTCTGCGGCCTCTGTTATCGAGGTCATCTATGTGGCGTTGTGTTGATGCCCAGTTTTGAATGTGGGAGTTTAAAATAGTTGAAATGCTGGTCATTTGAGCTTGTAAAACATCCCTTTCTTCTTCCAGATCTGTAACCCGCAGGTTAAGCTGCTGGACATCTGAGCCCATCTCCTCCATTTTAGATTGGAAGGAAACTTCAAGTTTGCCCAGCATATGTTAGATGTCGGATTTTGAGGGTAAGTTCTTTATTAATTGCCTGATGTCCATATCTTCGTTTTTGTCTACAGATTGTGAACTCTGTGAGTAGTAAGGACTGGGAGGTTGAGATCCCGAGTGAGATACCGCCCCCTCCATACTCGAGGCCGCGGCCGCGGCCTCCGTCTCCCGGTCGGTATTTTCTTTAAAATAATGTGTTAAAGATCCCGATTTCGCGCTTGGCGTCTTCCCCGATTGCCCCTGGGTGTGAGGGTGCTTCTTTGGGTTGCCCATATCAGTTGTTTTTCTCGATTACAGTGGATTGTAAGTGGGTCCGGAGGAGCAGTGTTAATGTGCGTCCATTAAGTTTGGCGGCTAGCCACGCCCCCGTCTGTGTGTGTCTGTATGTGTGTGTGTGTGTATGACTGTGTGTCTGTATGTCTGTCTGTGTGTCTGTATATATGTATGTGTGTCTGTATATATGTATGTGTGTCTGTATGTGTGTGTGCCTGTATGTGTGTATTTGTATATATGTGTGTATGTGTGTGTGTCTTCATGTGTGGGGGGAAGGGGGTAACATATAGGAGGAGACGATAGACATATGAAAGGAGAGTGGCGGGGGGGCCAGGGCAATTTTCGCACCATGGCCCCGTGGTTTCTAGTTATGCCTCTGGGTGTATATATAGGGATTTAGCTATTGTTAACTTCTCTACACCAGGTCAGAGTTTGGTGTTAAACTGTTTGGGTTAGCTGCAGCTGGTAATGAATAGCAATAGGATTGTAATGCAAATATTGATTATTTAGTGACTCCTATAAAAACTAATTGCAGCTGCTACTTAGCAACTGGTTTTCATAAACAGTAGGTGGCAACTCCCTGATGGTAACTCTGAAATGTTTGCAGTCAGGAAACAACAACAGTAGTGGTAGGCACAATAACAAGTCATTGCTGGTTGCTAAAATATGGAGACAAGATTGTAAACAAGGGAGGAAACGGAGACAAATCTATACACATATATGCCTAATGCATACATCCATATACACAAACGCAACCAATGCCTAATAGATAAAGCCATATACAAACACAAAACTGCCTATTACATACAACTATTCACACCCACATTACCCAATACATACATCCAAACACATACAAACTGTCTAATACATACAGCCACATCACATCATCTATGCAATATATTGCTTTCCTGGTTAGATATCCAGCATTCGCTGTAGCAAAGCGAGCAACATGGAAAGAAGCATACAATCTCACTTGTATATCTTCCTTGCTATTCATTTTTTACCTGTTTTTTTTAGCAAAGTGCAACTACGACAGCTTAAATTTTGCAAGAATGTTTTAGTCTTCAACAAGTGAATACTGTTTCATATAGTCACATCTACATTACTGTATTTATTTATCTGAACCTACAGCACAGAACAGAGATGTTCAAAGACAATTCTCAAAGACAGTCGAAGGCCTTAGTGTACAACTTATACAAATGTAAGGGTTGTATTGCAGTCAGATTTGGATGCTTGCTGAGAAGTTTTCTTCAATAATTATTATTAGCAGTATCATAACTGTAAAATAAATTTCAGATCCATAATAACGTCACTGTTGTGACATTTTGGGACATTGCTCAACTAATTTCTTTTCACTTGTAAAGGTGAATCTTGTCAAATGGACTAAGAACCTGTCAACTGATTAGGACATTTTACATTGTAACATACACTTAAAAAGCACACAATGCTTAATGCCATTTTATTCACTGTAGTACAGTGTAGGAAAGTTATCACTTAATATATGTATATCAACACATGCATAAACACACAGGGAAGATTAGTTTAGGTAATTGCTTAAAATGGTTGATATTTCATAAGCTATATTGATAAGCAGGACTTTTTCACTGCACAATGGTAATAACCTCTCCCTTTTGTTTTCTTCTTTCAAGCTATTGATTATATTGATGGTGGTTACTTAGCAATACCTGCTCATATCAGAGTAAGGAGTCTTATTGTAAGGATCTATGCAATGTATTGACCTGGCATGTCAGTGAGGGAGATTGACCAGAGGGATTAGCAGCTGCATTGCAAACCAGCCTATGTCTTCAACCGAGGGCTCTGCAGTAAGCAGCATGTGGGAGAGATGGAGGTAAAACAGAGCTTTCTCACACATGTCCTTCAATATGTCTCTCCTGTGCTGCTCTTTCTCAGCCTGAAGGAAGTTAATCACTTCCTAATAGCACAGTTCCTTTGTGGGACCACAAGGGGTATCAACTCCTCTGCATGGTTGCCAGCTAAGTGTGACAGCTCACAGGACCTGTTTTTGCCAGAAAAGGAGCCAAAAACATGGGAGTTTCATGGCAAAAAATGGGACTCTTGGCAAGTATGCACAAGTATAACAATACTTCCCATGTACAGTTTTTTTAGAGTTTAAGACAATTACAAGGCCCATTATGGAGCCTGCCCATTTCAGTCTTCATATTTGGATATTTGACATATTGATTTTCCAGGAAAATGTATGTCATACATAGGGCATGTTGAGATGGGCAGGAAGGGCAGTAGTAGTTAGAGTGCCTCCTAACTTCCTAACTCCTTTTTATAACAGACTTTGCTGTTTAGATGCTATAAGGAAAAGTAATTGCTACAAAGTCTCTAGACATATTCTGATTCAAATATAGAAGAACTAGTGGTGTGGTTGAACAATATCTCATAAATGGTATAGTATGAATTCTTGCTTCCATGTATCTGCTTTTTTGTACAGCACATACATTTTAGAGATTGCCATCTGTGTTAAGTATATGACAACTTTTTTATACCAGGTTTTTGCCTTGCGATGGACCAAATATGGTCAGCCAATATATTTGATGCTTTATGCAGTTGTTCTGGTGAGTATAGCATGGCCCTGCAGGACTTTTGTAGTAAAAACACAGATTTTTTTTTTTTTTTTTTTTAAAAGGTAGCATTTATATTACAACCTAGGGAAACATCCAGTGGCCACTCCTCAGATGTCTACTAGAAGCGCTTCCTGTTGCTCCTCTGCATGGAGACACAATAACCTTTTCATCGCAGAGATGCATTGATTTAAACAATCATCAGAATTGACAATCTGGGCCAATCCCATGCTTTCCTAGGGTAAAGCATTGTAATTAGCCGTGATCATCACTTTTGATGATGTCAGCCAAGGAGGCAGAGCAGGGTCAGAGCCAGCACCAGCATACTACTATATTTAGGAGGACAAGGGGGTGCCTGTGGCGCTACATAGTGTTATTAACACTATAGGGTCAGGAATATATGTTATGTTCCTGACCCTAAAGTGTTCCTTTAATTGTGCAATGTACAGCATGTACACATCTTTTTTGTCAGTGTATTGCAAAGCAAGCACTTCATCATGGTGCACAGCATTTGTTTTGGTTTTTGTCTTTTCCTCATGTGTCAGTTCTGTAAGAAACCTTTGTAATTTTTGCTCACAGAGCCACATATATGGATAGGGGTACGAAACTTATTTGTTCTGGCCAAACGGTCCACTTAAATATGTATGGAAGGCAGAATGCATACCAATTATATAAACACACACGTGCAAATAATAAATAGAGCAGGCACAAAGAACAACTTTACATAATGTCATAAATGTAATGAATTACTTTCTTACTACAACAAATAAGGTGTATTTGTGTGTAGTGTTGTTGTTTGCATGCAGGGGTGTGTATACGTGCATGTTGAAACTTGAATTCTGGAATGTGTTTGTGTACAGTGTTAGCATTTGAATGCTGGGATGTATGCACTGCCAGACACACAGATATAAACACTGACACAGATATACAAATGTTACATGTTACATACAGACACATGTACACATAGAAACTGACACACACAGGTGCAAATATATAAGTAACAATTAACATAGTTTTTAGCTAGAGTTTGTCATTCATTTTCAACAAACATGTTTTCGTCAGAATTTTGTCTGGGAATGAAATGGAACAGATGTGAGTCGCTGCTCCCTCACGATCTGAGTTCTGCACCAATCCCTCAATTCAGATGCC